CTGGGTTTGAATTCTGCCTTTGTTCCTTACTGGCTGTGTAGCCTTGTGTGTTCTTGCTGGGCCTCGGTTTCCTCATTTGTAAAAGGAGGCGGCTGAACCGCATAATCTCTAAGGCCTCTTCTAGCAATAAATCCATGTTCCTGTGATCCCAGAAATTCACCCATTCATTCTACCCAGGGGTAGTATCCCTGGTGTTCCCCAGTATTCCCCACTGTTAACCCTCCCCCTCTGAACTGACGTCCTCTGTGGACTCTCAAAACCTGACAGGAATAGTATCCAGAGAAAAGAATGAAAGTAGGGGATGGGGGATTGGAGAGTTAAGAGGCGCTGTGGTATTTGCCTTTCTCCCCTTCTTGGGGCCCCTGGATGCAGAGCAGAGAGAAGATGAGTAGCAGAGGTGATTAGGGGTAGGCAAGATTGCCTAAAGTGCATCAAATAGAAGAAGCACACACCTACTGTATTGTTATATCCCCTGAAGGATGTAGCAAGGGAGGTGAGAGTGAAGCTACCATGATTAAAGAAATTGTTGAAGCTGCAAATGGCATAGCATAATGGCTAGAATCCTGAATTTGGAGTCCAGAAGTTCAAATCCCATCTCAGATACTGCCTAGTTCTGTGACCCTGGGCAACACACCTAACTCATCTGAGTCTGTTTCTTTATCTATAAAATTGGGATAATATCATCTGTCTCACAGAGCTATTCTGCAGACCAAATGAGATACTGTATCATGTAAATGTAAGATATTAATAGTAGCAGTATTACCATCATCATTACTGTGGGAAAAGATGAGTGAAGTTGACTTGGGATCCATCTAAGTATAAACCAGGCCAGGGGTTCTCTGAGGTACCAAACCTACAGAGCTGAGATGAAAGCAGTAGCTGGATACAGGAGCAGAAATTTTAAGCCAAGAAGGTCAGTCCCACATTAGAAGATAAGCCACATAAATGTCAGTTATCATACTATGTGTTTGATTCTGCGCCCTTAAAGTTCTGTTCTTTTATCATGTATAGGGTAAGACCCTACCTCACCCTACAGTGTCAGAGGAGCTTTGGAAACAAACACCATCACCTTAGACCTGGAAGGGTGGCTTGGTGGAGTAGCATTCACAGAAGGCCTTTAACAGATCTGGCATATTTAGAGTGTACACCAGCTCTCACATACTCTCCTTGGATTGGAGATGACCCTACCCAGTCTCCTCAGTACTGGAGACAGCCATCACCTCCATAAGTTTAGAATCTCTTGGACAATGAATTCTTACTGCTCATTCACAATTAATGATGTTGGACAAAGTATGGATAGGAAAGGGGGGAGAAATTGAGGTGAGTCCTTTATGACAAAGTTTATCACCTCTATCAGGATGAGTGATCCATTGGGTGCCCAAATTTGGCCTTTCACAATAGCACATTCAGTGGTAGATTGCAACATCTGGGAATATGGATGATATCAAACCTTGACCTATTGGAAAGCATTGCTCAACAGAACTTGTGTTGATTGAGCATGTGGGCAGTTGGAAGTTGCCCTTGGTTCTTATAGTTACTGTGGATGATGATGGAGAACCATTCTCCCCTCAAGATGGTCCCTCAAAGCCCGAGATTTAGCTTTTCCTATCTAATAAATAGCTCTTTCTCAGTATTTGGTTTTCTTCTGCATTGAGCAACTTGCAGAAGGAGCCTGAAAGAATGAGAAAATTGAAGCAGAAAGTGCTGTCTATGAAGAGACAGCCCCCACAGTGACACTGGACGCATCCTTCTCTACAATGAGCTGTTTCTGGGGACCCAGCAATATCAAGATAGAGATAGGTGAACTAGGCCTTCAGGTCTTCAGGGGTATGTTCCATGCCCAGAAAGCCTAGGAGTACGTTAGCAGATTGGTAAGAGGTACCATCAGCATGGAAAATAGGGGGATAAAATGGTAGTAGTGGTCCATAAAGCCAAGGAACTGATGTCAGTCTTTCACAGAGTCAGAGGTCCCCTACTAGAGTATCACCTTCACCTTAAATAGATCATATATACATATGTTCCTTACCAGCGTATTATGTACCCAAGGAATTCAACCTTCCTCCTCAAATTAACATTTCTCTGATTGGGCAACTCACTGATGCTGGCATTAACACTGAAATAAGTTAAAACTAGTTTGGTATATTGGGCAAAGTCCTGTAAATACATGAGGACATCACCAAGGTAACCCACAACTCCTTGGCCCAGTTATGTAATATCAAAACTGTAAATCTCTGAAATACCATAGGGGCCTTATACAAACCAAACAACTTAACCTGCTATTAATATAAGCCATCCTGGATCTGGAAGACGTTTTTCATCACCCTCCTGCATCCAGACAAGGTTGTAGGTTCACCAGAAATCCCATTTTGTTGAATGTCAGTGACTTGGCCATCTGTTCTATTGGGCAGGGTATGGAGAACCACTCTTAGATGGTGATATAGAACAGGATTCTCTGGTCACAGCAGTCATCTTTCACTACATTTCTCTTAAGCAAATGCTAATAGGACTCTAGTCAGAGAGATGAAGGGCCAGACAAACCTCTCTTCCAGTTTTTCTCCAAGAACTCCCACAGGACCCCAGTCTTGGTTCTGGTCAGTAAGCCGATCAGGGCAGGTCTGGGGTTTCTAGAGGGATATGGCCCACATTATCATGTGGCCTGTACAGGCATGACTTCTCTGGACCCACTGTGCTAAACATAGCAGTCCCAGGAAGAAAACTCTTATTCAGGGTCCAATTCAGTGCCATGGCTAGATGCAGTATGCATCTGTTCTGGACAACATGTTCAGAAGTACAAAAGTAGGAGGTGACCTTCCACAGGTCTTATGATGGTTAGATTTACCAGGACAGCCAACCAATCCCTGCTGTTACTAGTAAAAGGAAGAGAAAGAGATCATATTCAGGGTAAGTACCTTGCACTGTTTCCCCACACCCAGTATGGCTTGGTCTTATGGGTCACTGATCCAGAGTGAAGTGGATACCCATGGGCTGTATCAGCTGTCATTAGAGTGTTGTGCTATTCCCAGGGTGCGTGCTTTCTGCAGACTAGGACTAAATCCAGGAAGTTCGAAGAAGCTCATTAATCTGCCATTACCAAGACCCAAGATTTGCAGGGATTCTGGCAGTTTAATCCTGAAGGTCAGGAGTGAGTGAGCCATAGGACAAGATGCAGGGACTGGTTGACCTGGGGAACTTCTACCACCTTTGAAGGGACTTTGACCACCTCCCCACCTCCTTCCCTATAGTCACTGGCAGTCTGTAGTATAAATGACTTCCTACCTGAGTGAAATGCTGTGCTTGAATAACATGGGCAAGCTAGACAGTACCCCCCAAGTCCCACCAGTTCTTCCCGTCATCCAGGAGATTCCCCAAATGTGGTTTGGGTGAGTTCTGGGTAGAACTGTAACTAGCTATATCTGCTCCTGGAACAAACTGGTGGAGCCAGAAATGGTGAAGGGATAGGGCAGAGTGACACAATTCTATCCACATGGAACAGAAAGATGACAGAAGAGTCCAAGGTATGGGATACATGGCCATACTATGAAGTATCTGACTGGGGAGGTGGAGGGAAAGGGAAGATTTGGTGATACAGTGGTGCAAAGGAGAGTTCTACCTAAGAGGGGGATCCTTTTCTCCTTGGAGGGATGGAAGAGAACACTCCAATGGCCACCACAGGAACAGAATCTTGGCAGGGTGGTCAGGGATGATTGTACCACAAGATTCTAGAAGTCACTGATTGGTGGTTGTGGTGAAAAGAAAGCACACGCCTTCCAAGATATTACCTCGAGGCAAAGTACCACTTGCCCCTTGTTAGTTACAAATCTGGTGTTAGATCGGAGTAACTTCAGCCTTTAAAGCAAAATTCAGCGCTCACACATTGTTGGGTACGTACAGACAGGTTGATGGCTTTCTCATGCAGGCTCATTCTTTTTGGATTGGAATCACAAAGTATGCCAAAAACTGATTCACCAACTTCTGACTTTGGGTCTGGAACAAATAGGCAGTCTCCCATGGTTCCTTGCCTCTTCTGGAGTCCTCACTGGAAGCTACACAGGCAGGCAGTGTTTCCAACACTGTCCACCATGACAGTTTGTTTAGGGAGCTGGATAACGTTATCTCACCCTAGCAGAGGTAGAGAGGGTTAACGGTCAGAGATTAGGACAATCATAAAAGCTGAATGCAATCCCCTCTTGAGAGTCAGATCAAGACATAAGAAAGCAAAAGCCAAAGGCCACCAAAAGTAAGAATTGGGGTTTTTCTGGAGCAGCCAAATCCAAGGGCTGAGATATACATGAGATCCTAGCACAGAAGCAGAGATTTCAAGCAGGCAAGGTTAGTACTGGAATAGAAAGATAAAATGGAAGAAGTATCAATAAACTCAAAATCCAACTCATCTATCACCTGACATCTCCCCCCCTCATTAATGCATGTTCTCCATTCCCACCACCCTGCGCCTCTGAGTTGCTTTTGGCCCCTCAATGCCCCTAGGATCCCAGAGGAGTTTTGGAGAACACTTGTCTCCACTTTGGCAGGCAAGGCTGTCCTCCTATCATTGAGTGCTAAGGTTCAAGTGTCCCTGTTTTAAGTAAGAGGGCACCTGAGTGGTTAGGGTCACCCTTTGTGGTGGGGGCATAGCCTGCAAGCCCAGCAGAAGGAGGGATGAGCCAATGACTTCACCTCTTTCTTTCCTAGACCCCCACAGCAGGGTATGCCTTACCTCACCACACCAAGATGACCCCTTGAACTCATACATCAATGCCAACTATATAAGGGTGAGTATCCCCTGCCCCTACAGCCTTTTGTCAAAGATACCCTTGCCCCAGACTGCTCCATCCCAGCCAGTATATCATCCGTGGGAGATGAGCTAATAAGGCGAATCTCGTTCTCTTTCCCCAATCAGTGGCAAGAAAAAGAAATTCAAAATGGCTCTGGAAGACTAGATTATTAACTCATCCTTACTTTGGGGCAGAGAAATGGAGGTCTAGGGGTCCCTACAACTGGAATATCCCTAGAATTGGGATAAAGAGCTGATGGAGGGAGCTCCTTCTAACCCTTGGAGGCTATGGGAGAGAGGCAGGCCTGACCACTACAGTCAAACTTGGCTGTTTGAATTTGATTCACCCAGACTATATAATTATATTTACAGGAGTGTACATTTCTGAGGCAGCTAGGTGGTACTTTCAAATCTGACCTCAGATACTTATTAGTTATGTGACCCTGGGCAAGTCACTTAACCCTGCCTTGTTTGCCTTAGTTGTCTCATCTGAAAAATGAGCTGGAAATGGCAAACCATTCCAGTATCTTTGCCAAGAAAACCCCTAATAGGACCACAAAGAGTTGGACCTGACTGAAACCACTGAACAACATTTCTGGAATTTTTGTCTTTCTTTTTTTGCTATTTATAGAAAAGAACTCACTAAATGACTAGAAAATATTAACAAGATTTCTGGGGAAATTTCAATTTCAAGGCATCTATCCAAAAAAAATTATTCAAATGCTAATTACAAAACATTCTTCTCTAAGATTGAAGTAGATCTCTTAAGGACCTGTATTAAGCAACACTTTATTAGCCTTTTTTAATTACTGCTCTCTCGTGCCTGGGCTATGTCAGTCAGTGAAGGATAACTGTAGAAAGAGGGCCAATGTGATGATGCTACAAGCCTCCCTCCACCACCTGTGGCTTTTAGGGCTATGGAGGGGAGGAGAAGGTGTACATCGCCACTCAGGGACCTATCGTCAACACCGTGAGTGACTTCTGGCGGATGGTATGGCAGGAGCATGCCCCCATTATTGTGATGATCACCAACATTGAAGAAATGAATGAGGTAGAAGCAACAGTATCTTTGTGATGGGGTGGAGGAGGTAGGAGGAATAAGGTTGGGCTAGGGTGGGCATCGCTGAAGAGCTATTCCACTAAACGTACCTTGTATACCTCCAGAAATGCACAGAGTACTGGCCAGAAGAGCAGGTTGTGTATGACGGGGTCGAGATCACCGTCAAGCAGGTCATTCAGGCTGATGACTACCGGCTTCGTCTTATTACCCTGAGGGTGAGACCTTGGGCTGAGGGGTACAGGGGGGGCAGAGTTGGTGGTGACCAAGAAAAGATGGCTTAGCCTGAGGGAGCAGAGAGTAGGCAGCATCTGTCTAACCCACTAACACAGTGGATTAGAACAGAGCCCCAGGAGCCATTCCTTGGGAAAGGTGGGTTTTGGGGAGGGGGGCCGGGGAAGACCACCTATGTGGGCCTCCCACGCCTATCCAGGACCTCTAGGGAAGAGGATCCAAGGTCGTCCTGTAGTAAGAACGCTGGTTTTCACTCCCTTCTCCCATGGCAGGAATCCCAGTTCATATCACATCTGACAGGTGAGCCTCACTTCCATGTTGGAGCTCACCTTTCCCTTGTGTACAATGCCTTCTAAACTTATAAAGCCCATTGTCTTAGCTGATGAATGCAATAAACATGCCTTGAGTTAGGTAAGGCAAAAGATTAGTTTCTCCATCTTATAGCCGAGGAAACAAAGAGCCCAGAAGAAGTGACAGGACTTGCCTATGGTCATAAAGTGAGTTACTGGTAGTAACTCCCAACTTCTTGTCTCTTCTTGCTGACCTTCTATTGTGGCCTCTCTTTATTCGATACATGGAGCATTTGGAATCCAAGGGGAAAGGCAGACCAAATGGGGAGACTCCAGTAACCTGTACCCATGTATCTTTAAATAAGATGGCCCCGGGGGCAGCTAGGTAGCACAGTGGATAGAGCACAGGCCCTGGATTCAGGAGGACCTGAGTTCAATTCCGGCCTCAGACACATAACACTTACTAGCTGAAAGACTCTGGGCAAATCACTTAACCCCAACGCCCAGCCAAGGGGAAAAAAAAAAAAGATGACCCCAAAGAAAGCTAGAGGGGGAGGGGCACATCAGTGATCTTGCTCTTCAAAATCCTCCCCCTTCTAGCTCTCCTACCACAAAAGGGAATTGGGAATTATCTTCCATTTTTTGAAAACAAAGAAAAGGTTTCGTGGTAAAGACAGATTCCTCTCAACGTGGTGGAGACTGGACGGGCAGAATCAAAGGGAAGTTATTGTCATATAGTAGAAAGATCCTGGGGTTTAGTCAAAGGATCTGGATTCAAATCCCAGCTCTCAATTAATCATCACTTGTGTGCCTTTTAGCAATTTATTTAATCTCCCTAAGCCTTGGCTTCCTTTTTTGTAAAACAAGGTGGCTGATCCAGATCAGAGGTGACAAACCCTCCCTGGTGTGGCCAAGACAGATTAAAATGCAATTGGAAAATATTTAATAAAATAAATAAAAATACAATACAATATAGATAATGTTACATTTTAAAACAAGTTAATATGTGGCCCGCAGGGATCCTTAAGTATGGATTAGTGACCCCTATTTCTATTGGAGTTTTATATTACTGGATGAGATGATCAACAAGGTCCCTTTCAACTTCCAGTCCTATTTGGGGTGGGCTTCACTGTATCCAGAAATAGCCTGAGATAGCCATCAACATCAGAATCTACAAAGTCCAAGGAAAAGAGATCCGTCTGGGACCTCTCCCCACTGCCCCTAACTCTCAACTCTTTTGGGGGCTTCCATGGGGTCCAAGGCAGGCAGGAGTAAGGCACAGGTTAGGCGGGTGCTGACAGGGGCTTATACAATCTTTGCCTAGGATGCCACCCCCCTGAACCTACAGAGTAGCTCCCTAACCACTCAGTTAGCACAATAAGGCTAATGGTGCCCAGAGAGAGTCTGGCTGAGCTGGGAGACTGAGCAGTCTGCCAATTAACAGGCTGGCCGTACCCAGAGAGGACAGACAGTACAGCCCCGGAGAGGGGAAAGAGAGAGAATGGGAGAAGGTTCGTAGAAGGACTTCCCACTGTTCTTCATGTTGGGGGCGTAGGTAAGTGGATGGACTAAAATCAAGTCAGGGGGTCTTACTCCCCAGTATCTGACCCTCTTGCAGAGTGGGGCTGAGGAGCGTGGCCTAAAGCATTACTGGTTCACTTCGTGGCCAGACCAGAAGACCCCTGATCGGGCACCACCGCTGTTGCAGCTGGTCCTGGAGGTGGAGGAAGCAGCTGGCTGGGAGGGGCAGAGCTTTGCTCCAATCATCGTTCACTGCAGGTAAGTGCCTCAGGCGGTGGGCTTTCCCCACCCCCCCTCCTCCCCAGCCTGACCTTCAGGCACCTCGCCTTCCCCCATTCGGTTCTCTGACTCTCCCTCAGAAGCCTCTCTCTGCCCCCCAGTGCTGGGATCGGGAGGACTGGCTGCTTCATTGCCACTAGCATCTGCTGCAAGCAGCTGCAAAGAGAAGGTGTGGTGGACATCCTGAAGACAACCTGTCAGCTCCGACAAGACAGGTCAGCACTGTGGGCAGGGAAGGGAGTGTGGCGGGTCTGAGCCAGCTAGCTATTACTCAGGCCAGGCCTAAGGCGAGAGGCGGAGGTGGAGAAAGGGAGTCTCAGGGATAGTGAAAATCAACTCCCAGTCAGTCAGTCAGTCATGGGGCAGTACTCTAGGTGCCGGGGAAAGAAAGACAAAAACGGTCTCCAAAGAACTTCCTACACAAAGGAAGGGCAGATAGTTCTGACTGCCTGGGGAATAGGTGAGGAATGTGGGGGACTTGGAACCCAAGGAGGTCTCCTTCCTTCTGGTCATTCCTTCCAGGAATGGCCCTTGGTGCCACTGGCGCCCACTGCTCATAGTAATGCAGACTAAATGGAGAAAAGACTAGCTTCCCCAAGTGGAGACAGAAAGATGGTGCCCCCTTTTATCCCCCGGGCAGTTAAAGGCCCCCTCTTTCAGTGCCTTACCCACTGCTAACACTCTCTAGGCCCTGAATATGGCTAGAGCCCAGGCACTGATATGGGTCTGGTCTCAGTAACCATCACCCCCTAGGGAAGCCACCTATTCCTCTCCTTGCTTCACAGCCCCTATCCCTTTGACTTCCTGGGCCCTGCCCTTTTGACTGTCCTGCCCTGCCCTCTTCTGCTCTGCCAGGGGCGGGATGATCCAGACCTGTGAGCAGTACCAGTTTGTGCACCACGTCATGAGCCTGTATGAGAAGCAGCTTTCTTCCCAAGCCAAGGAGTAACCACTCCTAGGGGCCGGATAGCACAGCCCTAGCCTGAGACCTGCCCAGCCTGGGTAGAGTCCAGCCAGGGCCCAGGAGCATCCTAAGCTCCTCCTTCAGCTTTGTTTTGTTCTTTGCTTCATCTGCTCTGTCTGCACCGGCCATGAGAACCCCCTCCAACTGCAACTCTCTCTACTGTAAATACCAGAACAGGGGGTCCTGGGGCCAGACGCAATCAGGCGACTGGCCCAGCCTCCACCCTTCCACCCCCTGCTGAGCCCTGCCCCAGCTCTGGCTTACCCGGCTTACCCCCAGTCCCATTTTTTAACTTGATCCAAATACTGTATGTGCTGGGCTCCGTGTATCCCACTGTCTGTCCATCTGTTTCTGATGTTTTAACCGGACACTGTGTCTCCTCTGCCTGGGCTAGGAGCCCACTCTGGGGAGCAGCTCATTCCGGGGAGGGAGGGGGAGCCTTGGAACCCAGCTTACAGATGGGAGCCAGGTAAGGAGTGAACTCAGGGGGGGCCTAATGAGTCTGGGAGAGAAGGGATGGGACCGAACTCTGTCCCCTGGCCAGACCTTCTGCCTGCTCCTCCTACCCACAGCCTTAGACGGCCCCCTCCTTGCCTTAGGCTTCCCCTCTAACCACAGGTTACCCCCTCCTCTCCTCCCCTAATTCTAGGCTGGCTCTCCCCACCAATCCCCAGCCCCAGCCTTACACTTTGCCCACCCCCAGCCTTGGGCTGCCCAGCCCACTCCTCCCTTTCCCCACCCCCCACGTAAGGCTGTCCTTTTCCCCAATCCCGGTGTAACCAACACCCCGACATTAGTCTTAAACGTTCCCCTCCCCCATCCCATTCCCAACCTTAGGTTCCACGTTCCCCAGTAGTAGGTCACTCTCTACTCACCCGCCTCCTCCGGCTCCCCTACCCCAAGGCTGCCTCTGCGGAAGAACAATCACAAATTTTAATTTACTCCCCAACACCCAGAGAAGGGGCGCTTCCTATGATCTCCTGGAGGAGAGGGAAGAATGGGAGGGAGGGGCGGTGCTTTTGGGCACAAGGACTCCCCCAAAGAACTGATGCCCCTGGGCCTAGTGGGGAGGGCTTGGGGGGAGGGGAGGGGCAAGGGCTGGCCCCAGTTCTGTGCAGAGTATTTTTCTGTGTCACTGTGGGGAAGTTCTTTCCAAATCGTGTATCCGTGGGTGTGTCACGTGTCCGTGAGTGTGTAGAGAACGCATCGGCGGGGTGTGCATGATTTTGGCAATATGTGTTATCCTGGAGCCACGTGGTTTTATAGCTGACTTTAAGTATTTAATCTATGGCAGACAGAGGCGTCTTTTTATAACTCTGCTCGTGGTCACTGAATAGAGCAATAAACACCGCATTTTGAGCAAAATCGGCCTTGCTCTGTGTGACTTACACACACATACGCACATTTCACGGACTCGGCCCAACTCTGGACCTTCTTTCCGGACTCCTCGGACTCCCCGGACTCCCCCACCCAACAACTAATCTCACATATTTATTGCCTGGTCAGACCTCTTGGCCACCTTCCTCCTTGCTTCACCCTGGAACTGGTGGTTAGGGCCATTTGTTAGCTTGTATCATTCAATTAAGGAGATTTTCATACTCCACTCTCTAGTGTCTCAATATGAATTTCCACAAAGCATTCTTTACCAGTTACCTACTCCTGCCAAGGCCAGGAATTCAGAAAAGTTACTTCTAAGGAGAGACCTCTCTGACTCAGGACAACTTTCACCTTCTCCCACTTACTGGCTTTTGGAAATCATTTGTAAGCAGATTAGGAAAGAAGTGGCCTTGTGTAGAGAGGGAACCAGGGTGGATGGTTCCTGTTGCTCCAAAAGCCTGACTTCGAACTCAAAGGGTCCAGATAAGATGAAACATCGAAGGTTTAGCAGACCAAAGTTGCTACATAAATGTCAAGTTATCTTCAGTGGCATTACCCCCTACTCTCCCTGAGTCCCTGCAGGGCTCCTCCCCCTTCTTCTGGATCCTCTCCCAAACCTTTGCAGGCATCTTCTCAGCTCTCTCCACCCCTATCCCATGCCCTCCCTTAGGGCCTCAAAGCAGCTGCAGCCTCAGGTTTTTCCCTTTTAAGGCCCTGGATCGAAATGCCAATGTCACCTCCCAGGGCCTGGGGGAATCCACCAGGCTTAGATCCCAGCTCAGACAACTATTCTAGCTATAGCCCTCCCCAAAGGACAGAGCAAATGTAGCTCTGATGACTGAGGTCAGACTTGCCGGAAGGGTGAGACTTACCCCCTAGAATTGGGGGGGTGAGAAATAGGAATAACAGAACTGAAACAGAGTGGGATGGGGTGGTGGGGAACTTTAACCCATGACTAGAGCTTAGCCCATTGAGGATGGGGGAGGAAGGGGATGAATCACACACTTTGGCCAACTTTTCCCTGGGACACAGTTCTGCCCTGCATCCTGAATCTTCCAAGGAGGTCAAAATAGGGACATCTATTGACACCCAAACCTACTCTGACTCATGGTTGGGGAGGGAGAGGGCAAAGCCCACTAATTCATTTTCCAGGTGTTCTGAACACAAGTTCATTCCTAATAATGAACCCCAGAAAGGGTGCCACCCTTGGAGGAGGAAATAGCTCTCCTGGAGAGTTGGCAGGATGGCTTAAGATATATCGCCCTCATCTGAATAACACTTTTAATAGCGCATGTTTGCCTTTTACTCCCTGAACTAATTTGAGGTCCCCATTCTCTTGCCATTTCAGAAACAGACCTGGGGCCCTAATCCTTTCTAGAAATGGATAGAAGTGGGTAACTGAGGAAAGGAATGAGAAGATTCCCTCTATTATTCTGATCTGTTCTATCGTTCTGTTCTCAATTCCTGCCAGGATTTTCATTACCTCCTACCCCTCCCTACCTCACCTGGCTTCCCATCCGCAAACAGAGCCAGAATCTGAAAGAGAGTCCCTCAGGACAATCAGCCTGCTTTCTAGTGGAAAGCACCGGATATGGGGGTCAGTAGACCTGTATTCAAATGATAATTCAGACATTTATGAGCTCTGTGATTCAGACATTTACTAGCTCTAGGTATTATGAGGCTGATTGAGTAAGTACTGAAGTCTGTCTTGTAGAGGAAGAATTGTTCTTGGCCTCAGAGGGCAGAACAAGCAGTTTTCTGCTTAAGGTAAGAAAACACTTCCTAGCAATTAGAGCTATCTAAAAAAAAAATTGGAATGGTCTGCTGTGGGAAGCAATGGGTTCTGCCTCACCACATATCTACAAGCAGAGATGAGAAGGCCTTTTGAATGGTGTATTGGAGAGGATTCTTTCTCAGCTATGGGTCAGACTGGATGACTTGTGAGGTCTCTTCCAAAGTTGAGATTTGGTGACTTGACCTCACCAAGCCTTAATTTCCTCATCTGTAAAACAAGCCCAGTAATACTGCTACTACCTACCTCACCAAGCTGTTGTGGGGAAAAGACTTTGTAAACATTGAAGTGCTAAATAAATAGGATTGTTATCATTGTTTTTGTAAGAAAGGCAAAATCACAGATCCTCACAGATTCCAATTGCTTCTGGTAAGCTGTCCAAAAAGTAGTGTGGATGCCAACCTCCAAAGATGTCCCTGCCATCCATTTGGGGAAGGGGTCATTCCCGGCCCACCTGCAGCTGCTGGCTTTGGCAAGGACTGGGTCCCATGGGAAGGAATATTTAAAGTGCTGCTGACTCCACTCCCTGTCTGTCCAGAGCTGAGTGAGGAGGCAGCCACGGCAGGGAACTGTGAGGTGTGAGACTGGGAGCTGAAGATACAGAGAGCCTGAGTGTGGAGCCTCCAGGTACAAATCAGAATCCAAAACCACCAGGAAACAGCTCAGAAGGTAAAGTATCTGAGAAGCTGGAGTTTCTATTTCCACTGGGATAAGGCTGACCCACCCATCACCACCATCCTAAGGGAGGGGAGGAACAAAGATGAGAGGGGAGAGTCAAAAGATGGGGAGTGGGTTTGAGAGGAGAGTTGGGGCTTAACTGCCAACCTGGGCATAGGTAATATGAAAATAGGTAGGAAAGGTAGACAGTTTTAAGGTATATGCTAGAGTAGTACCCTAGTTCTGGTAGGCTTCAGCAACAACCTTCATATCATACATGGTGAGCCAACTTCATTGCTCACAAAAAGATCTTGGTCACTCTTTTAAAAAGCCCTATACTGGGAGTCAGGAGACCTGGGTTCTAGAGATGGCTCCCCCATTGACTGTGTGTGCAAGTCATAGGAATGGGAAAGGGAGGGATAGAGATACCTGGGGTCAGGGACTAAGCCTGTGAACTACAGGACAATGCTCAGGATAAAGCTACTGGAGCAGACAGCACGTCATCTGTCTGAGCCTTATCATCCTCTTCTGTAAAGCAGACCTCAGAATCCCTGCTTCACAAGGCTATTAATAAGACTCCAATGAGACTGTGTATATTACAGCGCTTTGTAAACTTTTAAGCCCAGCATTCACGTGGATTGTTTTTATTATTCTTAAAATTAAGGCTCCTGAGGGCAGGAAAGAAGTCTGCCAAAGCCCTTGATTTGAGTCACAAGAAAGTCCTCAGGTCTATCTTTCTTTTCTACTGCTTTGGTGCCAAGCCATCTCCCTCCCTATCCCTCAACAGCTACAGCCCAATGACTATAACTGTTAAAGAACCCCGCCTCACTTCACACTTCTACCCCAGAGTACCCAAGTTCAAATCCCAATTCTTTCACTTACTACCTGTATGACCTTGGGCAAATCAGCTAAACTCTTTGGGCCTCAGTTTCCTCATCTGTAAAATAAAGATGGTTGGATTCTAAGGGTATCTTACAGTTCTGAAACTATATAGAGACTCTTTAGACTTCCTGGGAATGAAAATCTTGCTGATCCAGCAGAGTTGCCCTGACCCCTGAGTCATAGATGTTGGGGGGGAGGGGGAAGGGCAGGGAGTAGAGTTAGCTGGCATCTCTGCTCCTTGCTTCTGAGAAATTGTAAGAGGTGAAGAGAAGCCCTTGGGTGATATCATGGTCTAGTACATCTGCAAGAAGAGGAGGCTCTGTACTTTTTCCAAACCCCAAAGGATTTAGAGGAGGCACTGACCCAGCAAGGAGCACATGCCTGGGCATGGAGATGAGTGGGGTCAGTTTCCCTTTTAGTCTTTCCCTTAGTGGGACATGAGGATTTGGGGGTAAACAAGATGAGTAGAACTAGGTTCCCTCAGCCACCTGGGGTCCAAGTAGGACTACACTTCCAATTTGAGCCCAGTTTCTTTCAGAAGGAAAAAGCCAGAAGCCAAATGTCTCTGGGCTAACTGAACATTTTCAACTCTGGGATCAGAATGACTGTGAGCTATTTAGTGCTTTGGGATTTTTAACAGAGATCCCACTCGGGTCTACTCAGAGAACTGTGGGAACCTCTTTTTTTGCTCTGTTCAACCAAAAGTTCCTATCTGCACTCCTGTCCAATAGGACAAATGATTTTCTCTTCCTTTTGCCAAAGCCCAGTGTGCCTCCCATAGGTGGACATCTTCCACTAAGTCATTTGGGCCAAGGAAAGACACCTGCACCACATTTCCATTTGCCTGTTTCCCATCCTTCTTGGCAACTGGGCCAGGCCATGCCCATTACCCCAGGGCTCCTCTAACCCTCTCCTATCTCCAAAGAGAGGAAGAGAAGCAGCCAACTGCCCCCAGCCCCTCCTGCATCTTCTCTCTGGCAAGATTTGTATCCCCACTAAAATTATATAATTGGACATCTTAGAGCTCCTGCCAAGTCTTACCCTGAGTAAACAGAAGCCCAAACAGTAAAGACATGGATGGGGGGTGGGGGGAGGCCAGACTGGGAAGGGGCCAGGTCTTGCATCAGAAAAAAAGAACCAGGGTGGGGCCAGACTTGACTTTCCTGATCTGACCACTGGTTCTTAACACAAGCAACTGACTGCCATATATCCATCCTCCTGTCATGCCTCCCCTACCCAT